GATCAGGGCTATTCATAAGTAAGGAGGGAAAAAAAAAAAAAAGTTTTACTTGTTTCAGACCAACTCTGTTATCTCAGATTCGTGTCGCTGAAAAAACACGTGCATCCCCCACCCCCGTATGTAAGACTAATAAAGCTGGGGGGATCTCACAATATTTTATACCAGTTTCAGAAAGGCACACCCTGAAATCTCACTCCAACAGCTATTTTGGTATCTCAAACCTCATCAGGAAGTCACTAACAGCTTTTGAACCTACTGCCTCAAAGGAGATAATACATTTACAGGAGGGACACATTTGCCACGCAACATAGCAAGGTGTTTCCTCAGTGAGTGTTTACGCTTTATCTCAGGAATTTGTCCTTCCAATTTAGAAATCAAACTCCACTCTTGGTCTCCCCTCCGAGAAATGTTTTTGAGAAGGAGGTACAGGAGAGGCATGAGAAAAATCTGTTCAGCTGGTAGAGTTATGAAAGAACAAGAAGCAATCTACACTTTTGGATTTAAAGCTCAGTTTTTTGTTTATGGCCAGCGGCTTCTCCTCCACTAGATTTAGGGGGGAAAAAAATAAATCTATAATTTTTTAGATATACATAACAAAGGAACTGTTTTTCTATTAACACTAGAAGACTATGCAGATAATCTGTGCAGACCTCAGCATTTCTGTACTGTGTATCAAAGTCTTTCCAAAAGAGAAAGACTAAAGTTTTACCCCAAAGAAATGCAAACATCAGGGGTTTTATTTCTTAAGTTTCTAAACAATCAGTTTTTAGGTTTCTACTGGTTCCGTGACTTGCTCAGAGCTAGGTCTGTGTGTCAATGCTACGTACAGGGATACACGTGACAGAGGTGACTCCCAAAACAAGATACCTTACTTTAATAAAAAAAAAAAACAATGCCCTAATGCAACCAACTAATGTGAGCCTGCAAAGTATCAGCTCAGTGTAATGGCTTCACTTCATTTATAATTCTATGCTATGCTACAGATCAAAGATCATTTTTAGCTTTTTCATGTTAGATGAAATCTCTCAAGATGTTCAGTACGACATAAAATGTTGTAAGTCATTGAGTAATAGCCATGGGGTGATGCTACCTGTGTCTCAGATCCATCTTAATATTTTTCCCACTTGACATTAAAAGCTTTCAAGGATTTTAAACACCTCTTTTGTTCTATGTGCAGCAACTAAGGTGTTTTTATCAGAAAAAAAAATTATGAAAAGTTAACATACCCATCGGTATCAGTAGAACTGCGGCTTCTTTTCTGTGGGGTAACAGCTGCCATGTCTTCACCTACAAGAACACATTTTTCATAGCTTGAAATAGATTTCCAGTAAAAACCAAAACTGAACAAAAAAAACTTAGTAAAGAAGGAAGAGGAGGTGGGGGACTGGGAAGAAAACAATGAATGGCAGCAGTTCAGGCATGACAAGACAGTAGAACAACACATGGCTCTGTTTCAACTGAGCATAAACCATAAAATAAGTGCCCACAAAAAGGATCCTACAGGTCAAGTCCAGTTCTGTCATCACGGACAAACACATCCTTAAGTCCCTTTTCTAAAACAGAGGCAGATAATTCAGAACCAAGTTTTAGATTGCCTCTCACATTCCTCTCGCAAAGCTCATTCTAGACCTCACCAATGAGGTTCCTAGAAATCTGCTTGCTCCTGCCTATATTCACAGCCAATTTATTCCCATGAGGATTTCCTGTTGGCATTTACCTTCCAGCTGGGACAGCTCTATACCCAACAGACTTTTAGAGTTCCTCTCCCAGCTCCCTTCTTGCACAAAACCCTAAAACACGCTTTTTTAGCCTTCGTTAACACAGTAGCCATTTAAGTCAGTTAAAGCACTCAACGCTGTTTGTTCCATCTCTTCTAGTTCAATAGAACAAACAGCGTGTTTTCTGTTACATGGCATTTCACAACCAAAACCCCAGAACAAACAAATACCCTATATCCAAAAGAACTAATAATAAATATTCATAAACTGCTAGAAGGCCATATAAAGAATAATTTATTCAATAACCCACCAGCAGGGGGAAGTTCCTCCTAACCTGCCCGCGTTAAAGCATTGCTGGTTTTGGGGAAGCGGTGACTGATGACAGCCCAGACACACAAGCTGTTGTCAAGCCCAGGAACACCAAGGGACAAAAGCGGTGGCAGAGGATGGAGCCAGGAGCTGGGTAGCTGCAGCATGAGTTGTACAACCTCAGCACAGAGCAGTGCTGGCAGAGGGGAACTTCGAGAGAGGGCAGGCAACGCCTTAGAAGCACAGGGAAGCAATAACAAGCCTGCAGGTACCTGGGAAATGAGATATCCGGTGCAGATGAAAGGGAGAAGATAAGAACGGACAGACTGGTGGCAGGAGAGCCAAGGTGCACGTGTGGAGGGAGCAATCCTTATAACTTGCACTGGTACCCTGAGGATGCCATAGACAGCTTCCTGCAGAGCAGCTTTCCGCCCCCCGCCCCAGCCACCCACAGCCCTTCTCAAAATATTCACAGTTCAGTTCCCAGCCAGCCCCTCACCCCAGATGCCCCGCACCTCGGTATTGCGTCAGGCCTTCATCCCCACACCCCCCAGGCACCCTGTGGGGGCACCTGCCCCTTACCGGAGCACCCTGCACCTTCCCCCACCCCCCAGGACCTACCCAAAGCGCCCCGCACCTGACTCGGCACCTGAGCCTGGCCACATGCTGCCCTCTCCCCACCCCCATCACTTTCATACCACCTGGCCCCCTGCACCGGTGCGTGGGG